GGGGGGGGAAAGAGAATCGTCTGCTTATCACACCTTAATCACCTGCCTCTCTATCCTGGACTTTCATTTTCCACTCCTTTCTCCGTCCCTCGTTCGTCTTCAGTATAGAAACTTCACCAACATTGTTCAAGCCCGTAAGCACCCTTTTATTCGGTGGTCTTGTAAAATTCCATTCAGCCGATGCAGTTTTTTTAAGAAAGTTTCAGACATAAGTTTGGTTATGACTATTTCCGCTACCTCCTGTCATGCATTTGTTTGTAACTACGACCAATTCATACCATCAATTGTCATTGACGTGAAATTTTCAGTATATCAGATTTGATTCATGCAATCTTCCTATAAAAAAGTAACGCGCCAGTTGTTACACCCGAGACAAATTTTAGGTAATTGTTGTACGGGTTAAAAAATAATTAAGACAATCACCGCTATTGTAAGATTGGTTTAGTTGCAAGACATCACGGTTCTAAACCACCCGTTCGTAGGTCTGATTATTCAAGTTGGAATATGCCAAAATGGTAGCCTAGTAGAGTTATCCTCTTAAATTTAAGATTGTCTTTTCTGAACAGGTGGAAGGTTTCACACAAGCTGTTAGACAAGTTGTTTTCCTTCTGTCTTTTTTTCCTTTCTTCTTCTGGCTTAGATCCTTCTGGACTTTGAATACGACAAGACATGGAAGAAGACCAATTCTCATTTGGCAGTAAGTGATATTTGTGTGATGGATTTTCAGCAGATGTGAAGTGTACAGTTGTCCAAGAGAGACAAAGTAGCTCTACACCAGAAAAGAAGTATACTGATTGAGATTTGTATCGTTTTGTTTGGATTGTGTAGGTCAGCGCAGGTAGTAATGACGTGGGTCGTGGCACTTCAGTTTCAAATGGAACGTATTACTAAGAACCCTATATTACTATTTAGCTGTTTTTGATTTCAGGTTAAAAATACGAACTCTGTTGTGTAGGTTCTGTACCTTATCAGGAGAAAACTCTCTTCTTCATATTTATAAAAACTGAATAGCAATGAAGTATATCTACATGTACACTTTAAACTAGGAAACCTGATGCCCCCGGTGAACTTTTAAACTGAATTCTGACAATCCGCTGAAATTGGAGATTGATTCATTTTTGAGCCTCGATGTTTCTCGCATTTCTAATAATCCTTCTATCTCCGTTCCTTTTTCCTGCAGGTTGTAAACTTCTTTTTCATACTTTACTATCTTATTGAACAGGTAAAACAGTTCTATATCATCAAATGCAGGTCTCAAAATTAACCGAATTACGTTAGATCTGTATTGCTAAATAGAGGATGCTTTAGTCTTGTAAGGTCCAGTTGAACACTTTGCATTTTATTTCTAGTTATTTGCCCTTAGTTATGTTATTATTGCTCATCATTCCGGACAAAGCATATGTCAGTAAGGAAGCCTCAATTAGCGGACGGTGGTATAAAAGGGTCATTTCTCTCTTACGGAAAATTGCCATCCTTTAAACCGTTTCGTGAGAAGCATACCTTGTGTGTTTGTCTGTTGGTGTGTGAGAGTACCTAACTTTTTTTTATTTCCCATTTGGATAAGAGGGTATGAAGGTAAACCATGTAATGTGATACAATAGTGACTTTTCACAAAACGTTCACGAAGTCCATGTTTACCTTCTTAGTTCATTTTTGTTTTGTCTTCTTTGTTTTTCCTCAAAAAGTCGAAGAGTTTTCCAGGCTGATCCTGTTTCATTTGTTAATTATTGATTTTTTTCTTGCTAGATGGTAAAACTTTGGGCTGTGGGCTGGCAACGGTATCGTTCATCCTTAGTAAGTGAATTGATACTTACCCTTGGCGCTCCTAAAATAATAAAAATAAATGTTTCATGCGTGATATTTCTTAACGCCCCTTAATACTGTTTATCAATTGACCCGTACGGCTCCGCGCGCGTAATCCCATAGAACACTGACGTGTGTAGGGCCGTACAGGATGACGTAAGCCGATCAAGAAGAAGCCGTCTGACCCTGTTTCACACGACTTTGTTGCAAAAACCTAAATGGAAAAAAGAAAAGGGCTAAAAGGTCGTATTTTTTGATGAATTAGGAGTTTCGTGTTCTGACTCGAAAAACAAAGGAAAAGTACTTATCGTAAAAACATTTTTGTGGTTGTACCGTGTGCGCTTGTCTATCGCGTCCTCTTTAGGTTGAAACAAAATTTTCGACATTGTCAACACTCGGTGGCCATATGATGTCATGCTTATTGACTGAGTTTGGTCGGGCAGGAGGGAAAGATATTTGGCTCTCGATCCACCATGAAGCATGGACCTCGCTGTGCTCGGTCCTCAGGTCATGACCCCGAGCCAAATATTTTCCCGCCCGGCCCCTCCCACTCAGTCAATGAGTACATGTTTTTGCTGATAAACATAGTGAGCTTGATAAAATAAGCTTGCGCGTTTCCTTGTTTTGGACGCGGCCCGTGTTTGTTGGACCGCTTAGGATGCATTGCAAGGATGGTGGAGTTAAAGAGCGTACGATGTTTGTGACAACTAGTTCTGGACGTTTACTTTTGAAGTAAAAAACTGACTGACAGCGTTTTTCCACAGGTTAATATCTACTGTGGTGTTGTTACCCTCCTTTTGGTGGTATACATATATTTTTTTATTTTATTCCACCACTTGTACTTAACTCTTTGACCCCTAAGAGTGACTAACATCTAAATTCTCCTTACTATACCCTCCCCGAATCACACTTTAAGGTCACATGAATATTATCCATGTTAGCACCCAGGCAAATGTAAGGAGAACATGCCTACTGATGTTAACGTTAAGGATTAAGCGCCCCTAATCAGCGTTGCATGTCAGAAGTAATTTTCAGAGAATTTATGATTTGGTACATAATCCTTTGGACTAAGAGTTCGGAAGTTTGGAGGGTAACACAGTGATAGTGAAATACATTCAAGAGAGAGCTTACGATTGTGTCTTTAAATCTTCCTGTTCGTTTTTGAATAATCAGTTTGGTTGTAGTAATAAGCGTATTGATCGTGAACATCTGTTGTTTGCGCTTCAGGCCCTCGAGATAGTTCATGTTAGTTTGTATGGCGCTCCTTTCCAAAGGTAAGTTATCCACATCTTCGTCAATTTTTTTTTCCTGTATTGCTTATCGTGCGTTATTTTGAGGTTTACAGCCAATAAAGAACGTGGCATTTGTCGACATGTTCGTTACATATCTTTCGCGTGGGATAAATGCCAAGCGTGGGTTTGTTAAGTCGTTGGAACAATCCCATCAGCAGTCTCTTTAAGTAAAAGAAAGTTGAAAATATTTATTACTGTAAAACATTCACTAAGTTTTTTTTTCATTTTCTCTCTCAGCTCAACAAGCAATCAAAGTGAACACAATATAAAGAGAATCTTCAACGTACCAAACATGATACGAGTAATCAACATGTTGATTATCTTCCGACTTTTGAGAATAGTTCCCAACATCAAGGTAAGACATTTATCTCTTTATTATTGTTGGCATTTTTACGTCAATGAACATCAATGCAGAATTTAAACTCCTTCATCGAGTAAATAGCAAGTTTTCAGACGTGCTTGACGGGGTTGCTGAAGCTATTCCCCCGTCGCCTACTATTCAAAAGAGTCATGGCAATTGAAGACTTGATTATGGATTAAACAAAAAAAAAAAAAAAAAATTGGGAAAAAATTGAGAAGGTGAGCAATGATTACCTAGTCCCGTTGTGCACCATTAGCAGCAACAGGTCGTAATTGTTTCAAGACCTATAAGCTACAGTAAGTGGCAAAAGTCTTTGCATCTTTTCTACGTTTTGAATTTTGTAATAACTTCCATTCATCTCCCCCTCTCCCTTCCCCCCCTCCTTTTCAATATTGCCTGATGTAACAAAATGCTCGCAATATTTCAGACAACATTTTTCTTGGGGTAAGGGGGGAGACTTCAAGTAACTTATTGGAGATGAATTATAAGATTTCTGATTGATTGTTCTGTTGAGTGGAAGGTTGTCGATCACCCGGTAAAGGGGGGATGGGGGGGGGGGGCGTGCCAACTTCTTTTGCCACTGAGGGTAAGCCTTACTGGTGATGCTGATAGCTTAACATCTTGTCTTATGTTTAATTGTGTTGTGTTTCCTTTCAGTCCCTTTCCCTTATTGTTGAAACACTGATAAAATTATTGAAACACTTGCGGCCTTTTGGAGGTATCATAGTGGTATGTAGAATGTTTGGTTTTTTTTTACTGAGTTGAAGGAAATTCATAAGTAGTTTTCATCTTCACTGAAAGAGTAACTTCAAAGCACAAACAGTTCTAGCACAACAAGTCAGGCGCAGCTGGAAGGAAAATCTTGCCTAGATGGCAAGCCTCAGATGAAGCTGCCTTGACTGATTGTTATTTCGGGTTTGCTTCTCATTGGCCGAAAAAAAGAAGTGGTTTCCCATGATTCATTAGAACAGTCACAAAGGCCCCATCAAAGCATTTAGAGCTGACTAAACACGCTACAAGAACAGGCTTTGGGTTCCTTGTGTCAATGTTTAATTTGGTTTCAGGCCTCCTATTATGTGTTTGCCATACTGGGAATGATGCTCTTTAACAAAGTGACCAGTCCGTCAGCTGTTGGGGCTAAAGAAACAAGGTACGTTATTTCAGTTGGTTGTGAGTCTAACCCTAAACTGCCAAGAATTACCAATAAGTAGAATCTCTTTCGGAGATCAATGTACTGCTAAGCAGAGGGGCGTTGAGAATAAGTAGATACATCAACCAAGGTGGTTTTGACCGTAATTGCTCCTAATTTGAATTTTAAGAACTGGGTCCAGTTGTTTGAAGGCCGATTAGTGCTAACCCAAGGTTAAATTTTAATCCAGATTTCATATTTCTCAGTTCAAAAGCCGTTTTGGGATAATGTTCCCAATTCATTCAATCATCAAATTATAGACAAGTGGAATTAAACTGAATTTTCTTTTAAAGCTTTCGTATCTGAAATCAAATTTCACGCTAACGCTGGGCTATCTTAACTCACCTTTGAAAAACTCAGCCCTGTGGTCTAGATAATATGAAGAAATAGACATGTTGGGTGCGAAAGGGTTACCATTACTGTATAGTATTAGGTGTGTTTTGACTGGTGTTTTGTTTCAATTCTCAGAATTTTAACTGAAGAGTGCGGCTCTTTTGACCAGTTGCAGTACTACGCCAACAATTTCGACGATTTTGGGGTAATGCACACTTTTGTTTTGAAAACAACTACCACCGTCACCTTGAAGCACGAAAACAATCAGTCCCACAAATTGAATAAAGTAAACTGCTTTGAATTGCTGAGATTCCACATAGTTTAAAGGTCCTCACCAGGGTTTTATTGTTGACTTGTGCGCTGTAACATTTACAATTACCAGCTAACAGTTGGTCGCCAATTTGGGTGTTGAAGCTGGAATCTAAAGGATGGTGACCAGCGGGCTTGTTACTCGGCGTCTTGTCAATTTGAAAATCTCAAAATGGAAGGAAATACATTAAGATGGTTTCACAAGAAGAATTATTATCACGATCAGAGTTACTAGTAGTTACTAGTAACCAAATTATCCTGTAATAGAGGTTTTGCACGGCAGTCATGTTGGATGGCAGAAACAATAGATTATTTTACCCATGGGAAAAAAAATTATTTCTTATGCAAAATATTTTCTTTGTTCCTGCCATCCAACATGGCTGCTGTGCAAAACCTCTATACTCCCCAACGACGCAGTACCACAGTTTCTTTAGAAATATACCCCCTTTCATGTTAGGTGCATTTTTATTTCACCATGTTTTGTTTATTTGTCTTTAGGCAGCTTTGGTGGTTCTGTGGGATCTGATGGTAGTAAACAACTGGCATGTATTTCTTAAAGAGTACGCCAAAGTTGCGAGAAGGTATGTTAACCTTAGTTCTTCCTCAATGTTTATGATGCAGTTGTCAGTGTCCTCGTCGACAATGGTATCCAGTCGTTTCGTACCCACGGTCGATTCGTATCCAGTTTGAGTCGGTTCCTCCCCAAACTGCTTGTCGATTTGTACTCGTCCCAAGCTTTGTTAATTCGGAACACCTTGCGGGCGAAAGCGTGAAAAGATGTCGATTGTTGTGTGCTACAAGTTACACCTTTTGCTGTTCCTTTACGCAAAATATGCATTCATTTACGTCAACAGTTGAAACTATACGGCAAATGTACGTTCATTAGCGCTTCCATGAACTTCATTTATGCGAACTAACTTTTGAATAACGCCATTTGCGTATGTATTAACATTCAATAGCAGTAACGGATGAACAATTGCACCTTTGGACAATCAAAGATAACAAAGATACTTTCAATCTCGTGCAATGGTTTATTCGATAAATAACAACGTTTGTTAGTTCACGTTTATTATTGACCATTGATTGTATGAAGGTGCAACTGATTGTGCGTCTCCTATGCATAGTAATGCGCCATTGGTTGTCATACTATGCAATTGACTTTCTGTTGGTGTTATTTGCCGTATAGTTTCAACTGTTGACCTAAATGAGTGTATATTTTGCGTAAATGAGCAGCAAAAGGTGTAGTAGAGTCAAGTGAGGTAAGCAAGTAAAGTAAAAGCAAAATTCTGCTGTGTATACTTGTGACTTTTTTTAAGAAACTACTAAATTATTGCCTAATTGTGATATTTTTAAGAAAACAGCTTGTTGTTTATACTTGTTGTTTATACTTGTGATTTTCAAAACAATAACAGCTATAAGGTAATTGTGACTTTTTCTCCCTTTGTTAATAACGGTAATAAATTCGTTCATTCGAACATACTTAACATACTTTACTAGTATGGGTAAGAAGCGACCTCGATGGGAACGAATCGGCTGGGTAGGAAACAGTAGTGGGTACGAAACGACTGGCGACCTCGACAATGATCCATGGAGTGAAGCGATGCATAAATTTTTACTGGTTGAACTCACTTGTTACTCTTATACTAACACATTTTGAAAGACAAATCGTGGAGAGGTATACATCGGCAGTAAGAAAACTTACCTGCCTTCTTGAACGCCGTCTTAAGACGTTATGATGGCTCTTCTTCGCACCATGCGTAGCTACATCATTTCCTTTACAAGTCAAGATTTAGACTTAGATATGGACAGGGGTATAAGCTATATTGCTTGTACATTAAACGTCACTCGATTTTCTTGTTTCAGCTGGTCACAACTATATTTTGTTGCCTGGTACCTTATCTCTGTTATCCTCATCATTAATCTGTTTGTCGCCTTAATTCTCGAGGTTAGTCGGTGTCCTTGCTTTCTGTCCGCAATTTCCTTAAACCCTCTATACCCTAATATCAGTATGCATATTCTCCATACTGTTCTTTGTACACTTCCTATGTGCCGACAAGGTGAATTTGTTTTAATAATCGAGAACTTCTCTAGTTGATGATGACTTCACTATAATCTCGTGACCGTAATGTTTGATTCAAGGGTAATATCATCAGGATGGAGAAATTAGATCTCATTCACTCTTTTAAGGTATAACCTAACGTTGAGAACGTTGAGTACGTTGAAAACGATTGGTCAGTTTTTTTATGCTCTAAGATTTGTGTAGAGTTCTTCAGTCGTTGGCGATAGCTTTACTACCGTTTCAATAAAGATACACTATATTCATAGGTTTTTGACACTTTGAAGTCGTTGATATGAAAAGTTTTCTTATTTTTATTTACCCGATTTAGTGAGAACTTCGAATGAAAGATTTTGTTTTTGGAATTGCTGAAAACCTTTGAGATTTTGATCATATTTGACAGGCATTTATCAGCCAATGGGAGATGAAACAGCAAAGAATAAGACAAAACGATGGAGCGAGGTCTCTTGAAGTGAGTTTGACCGAAAAAAATCTGATATTTGCCCATCCTTTGGCAATTTATTTTGTTGTTGATGTTGTTGTGACTGGATCAGTTGCTCGTACAGTTGCTTATTATATGTTCAACGAAAATCCAGAACTTACGCCATTTTATGCCATAATTGATCACCGCTTAATTGGTGCCGCTTAGTACAGGTTGGACTGTATGGTAAAATGGCGTATTGATAGAATGATGAAATGCATTGTAATAGGCTGAGTTCCAATGACTCAGCATTTCACGAGCTCCTTGCCACTGTAATTTGGACATTCTTTGACAATTTTGATATAAGAAAAACTATTTCTTGTATTCGGTAATGAATTATAGAAGACGAAAAAACATCAGTGACACACCCCCTTCGGCGCTTTTGGTACATTTTTTAATTACTCCCCTAATTTAATATCATCTTTGATCTATTATTGGCAACATGGAATCTAGTTTTTAGAAACAAGTTCTGTTTCTGTTTCTCACACAGACCGAAGTGACTTTACACGTAGGTAGCCGGTTTCATCAACTCTTCAGCACCAACTTAGTTGAGCCGACTGAGGAGGAGCTAGTGTTTGAATTGTCAGGTCACCACCATTATGCATTTGATGTTCAAGGTAATGTTGAAAATACCGCAAACATTCCCCCATACACCGATTCGAAAAATGGCGGACAGCTCGGCTTGCGCGGATGGACTGGTGATGAAAATAATCGAAAACGAGGCTAGTCAGTATACATGCCAACGTACTGCTGTGTGCCGAAATGCACACAAACTGACTATTTAGATGACAACGGATGGCCTGTTTCTTTCTTCAACTTTCCAAAGGACCTGATCTTGCGTAAAAAGTGGATTCATGCCATACGAAGGGACGAAGGGAAAGACTTCACGATCGTGAAGTCAATTAAAGTTTGCTCGCTTCATTTTCGTCCATCTGATCTGCGAAAGTCCTTAAATGGGAGGATTTTTGTAAAAAGTAATGCAGTACCTTCAAAATTTGAATGGCAAAAACAGTCCCCGAAGGAAAAAAAAGTACCAACACAACGATGTTCTCTTCGTCGTAGAGCCGCGCGCAAAACCAACAAGGCGGCGTCAACGTCCACTGAATGTCGTGTTATTTGGCCACAAGATATTTCTGCCGATCTTCCTTCAGAAACTAGTGTAGATCAGCCAGATTTACCCGATTTCGAGATGTGCACGTCAATTTCAGCTCGAGTAAACATAGGTAGCCTAGATAGTTTCGTTGAACATCCATATAACGGATATTTTACTGCAGTAGTACGAGAATTCGTCGCGACATCGCTTTCAGTGTGATATTGTTGCCAGTCGTTGTTTTCTCTTTGTAAAGACTTATTTTTGTCCGGATCGACTATATTATTGTCACGGCCCGAACTTATATATTCTTCGACCATAGAGTAAAAGGAATATGTGGATTAAGAACTGGGATTAAATAAAACAAAGAATCACAAATACAATTTATAATTCAGAGTATTCTAACGGTATCGAAATAGCCTAGTAAGATCTCTCACCTTTTCACGAATTGTGCCTTAATTTTAAGTCCCTTGCACGAATCTGCACGGCACTGAAGCCAGAATCTAGTTCCTCCATCTTAAGCTGAGAGGGTATTCTACGCACCAGAGAAGCCCCGGGAATATCATCTTCTCTTAAAACAACCGAGGAATCCATATTTTTAACCCGGAGGAAAAGGACCTAAAAGGAAAAGCCTGAGCTATTACTGACTAACCTCGACATCACGTTTTTCGTTACCAGTCCATGCGCGCGCGAACCGAGCTGGCCGCCATTTTTCGAATCGGCCTATAGGGTCCCCCATAGGTGAATTATTCTTCTCTATTGCTATCGTCGTGTACTCAATGAGACCAAGCATCGTCAAAGAGCGCCTTTCCGTCGAGTGCCTTGAAACAAACTCAAACAAATCGCACCGCCCAATCAGAGGGAAGAAAGATATCACCAAGAGCCAACGAGAACGCAAAATAAGAACAAACATACTTCCTTCTTAAGCGCGGGAAAACGCACATGGCCAAGAAGCATTTGGTTTTGGTTTATCATTTGATTGGTTGGGGGGGGGTTGGGCACGAATTTTACAGGCCAATCATAAAACGAGAAAAAGCAAAACTAATGCGATCGTAAATTACTTTCATCCTCTCTTGCTTTCGACACTCTGCTGAAAAATTTTCAGAGATATCGCGAGATCTGGAGCTTTGTATCAAACAACCTTGTTGACAAAGCTGCTCATCTTTACAAATTCTGCGTACCTCAGGGATCAGAGCGGAGAGAATGGCAGCGAGGTTGACTTTTTTTTTACTGAACAGTTCTGTGGAAGAATTTCATGGGACCAACACAAACTTTACATCACAGGGATACAAAGAAAACTTAAGTTCTCAATGATCAAAGTTTCTGAGTTACACGACCAAAAGTTTTCTCGGTGCTTGCTAGATTGGAAAGCCTCTCTTTATACCACCGTCATCGCAGATCTCGTTTGAATATCCATCTTTTCAGTAGTTATGGAGATTTGTCATTTGGTGCCCCTTGATCTTTGCTGAAAATGTAGTGTAGTTCTCAAATAGATATATCACTGAACTGAAAAATATTCATCGACGGATAAACGTGAAAATTACATCGTCCTAGGTCAGAGTTGTATTACTGTTTGATGCTAACGCCGCCTATTTGATAAATATCTCTGAAAGTTAAACTTTTTTGTCATTTATTTATTTACTCAATTTTAATTAAACAGATCTTAATGTAAAAAAAATCACAAGATCTGATTAATTAGGTCAGTTTATACAGAATACGAGGATTCCTTATAAAATAAACTACCTCAAAAAAAAAAAATATATATTTTCATATATATATAACTGCAGACAGTACTGTTTCGGCCTTCTGGGCCTCATCAAAGCAGTGCTGATGCTAGGATGGGGGAGGACCGAGACGGTCACCCCAAACGACCCAATCTTTGTGGTATCGTCTAAGCCATGCCAGAGTGCTCAAACTACAGTAAACTAGCGAGCATGCGCATATATATATATATATATATATCTATATATATATATATATATCTATATATATATATATATCTATATATATATATATA